ATAGATGTCGAAAACGCTCAAAACGCAGAAAACGGGCCATTTTCGGGGAAGACTAAAAATCGTTTTGAAAATGAAAATGGAAAATAAAAATGTAAACCAACCACTACCTAAGCTGGCTAAGCATCTAATGGCTTTTAATTCAAATTCTTTTCATATGATAAAATATTCTGCGTTTAATTTTTTATTTATTTTTAATTATACATTCTTGAAAAATTTAGCTCCTATTTATTTTTCATTATTTATCCATTAAAATGAAAAATATAATCGTTATTCTTCATATTAAGTTATATTTGATTTTCTATCTTTTGTGCGAAATTTATGATGATTATATTTTTCGTTTTTATTCTTATATTAATGTGATTCAAACGGACCTATATTTAAAAATTTATTTTTCTCAAATGATAGTCAACCGGAGCTAAATAATAAGGGAACTCCTACGTAGATGGTTGAGAGCAATGATATACAATAGAAAATCTTGAGGCAATTTTCGTTCTCTCAATTCCTACCAGAATCATCCTTGGTGGAATTACCTCCAATTTGCTTCTCCTTGTAGTTCCCAAATTTGTATATCTATTCAGCGTCCTTCCATTTTCTCGATCGCTACCTACTTCGCTTCCTCCGGCATCGGAACGGTTAGATTTTTCTACATTCTCTCGCTATGGTGTACGCCTGAAATGTATGTGTTCGTTTCTTATACTAGTGTTTTTCTTTCTTTCTTTTTTCCTTTTTAATTTGGGAAAAATGGCTAATACAATTCTGAATTCACGATGTCGATTAAGGACTGAAGCCCTTAAAATAGAACCTTTTTGGGTTTAGCGATTTCCCTACTTCTGTTAATCCCGGCATTGACAAGTTGGGGATAGTAAAATTCTCAATCATCAGTACAATCTGCCTGGGGAGGTACTTGGTACGTTTCATGTGCTTGTGAATAATCCTGTATTTTAGTTTGGTTCTCTAGGGACCTATTTCTCTACTACTGGTAAGCTATGGCCTATGGATTTTGGACGTATAACATAATGAATGTTGGAGCTATAATCGGTACTATGATGGCAAAATTCCTGCTGTCCCTGATTTTATATTATAGTTGATAAGCTGGTGACTACAACCTATCCTTTTTATTCTGAAAATGAACAATAGTAATAAAAGGTCCTACCCTGTTCCTTTGAGCACGTATAGAACCTTTTATTATGCCTCGCCTAAAATCTGATTGTTGTGAATAGCGTATCAAAGCTTCTTGTATTTTCTAGCAAATACACATCAATAAGATATGAAGATGAAGAAATATTCTGTCGCACCATATCAATCCAGGATAGCTAATTTTTATAGAGCATGTTGTTGGGGATCCTAGGAGTTCAATCAACCAAAACATCAAACAATAGAAGAAATTCTAAGGCAAAACAATGAAAAAGGGATGGAAAAATGCAACCTGTCTTTGGCCGAAATTTCTGCAGTTTTCCTTCCTCGTTTCAGCAGCTTCTTCTTCTATTTATGAGTGTTTTTCAGGCTCAGGAACAGCTCTCCATGACTTGCAAATCACCTTCCAAGAGAGAGGGGAAAAAATCCGACAAAGAACCACCACCTTAAGCTAAAATCGAGAGCTCACTTTCTGCTGGGAAAAAAACCGAGAGCTCCTCTTTCTCTGCCAAAAACGTGGGAAGACCTTATTGTGTCAACATCAATACCATCAAGTCACAACATCTCTCCCAAGATTAAATCTCGGCCGTCGATCTTCATCCAATGGTCCACAAAAAACTAAATAAATGGTGTTAGGTGAACCATATTCTCACA